TGTATATTTTTATTTGCATACATTCATATGTGCAAACCCTTATGCATATTTTTATATTTATATACAAATGAATAGGTATGCTAATACATTATTTATTTATATTAATAAGTGTTCAAATTGTTATTACATATAAACTTTATCGATGAAAATATTACTTTCAACATTTTTCAGCAAATATTACACAAAAATCTGATGCAACTTGTATCCTAAGTTGTCCAATAATACTCTTGAATTGCGTTATTAAATAATGAAAATATGGTAAAATTAATAAAAAAATATAAGCCCTTAAATGAGAATTAAAGCATAAAATTATATTTTTATATATTAGATGCTTAGACATATATGGCAGTCTAAAACGTTTCGATTTGATTCATAATTTACTATTTGTTACTAAAATTTTGTTCGAAAATTTATGCCCATTATGAGCCTACAGAAGTACTGTACAATTTTAAAAAAAGAACAATCGCTAGATGACCCATTTTACATTCAATTATTATCCAAAGGTTAAAAACAGAGAAAATGATGTTGGAAATGGAGATAGAAAAAAATTAAGTTTTGTTAAATCCGAGTTTTCCCACGTGCTTGATCAAAGGTAATAAATTTGACCCTTGTTTTAATTTTATTAATGTAGTTTTTTCCCAAATGTACATTTAGCTTTTTTTGTATGAAGCGAGTAGAATCTAAAATCAACGTTTTATAGAATGTTTAAAAGTTATGCACACAGCATTATAAATGTAATTCATCTTCCATGATGACAGGTTTAAAAAAACCTTTGATCCTTTGAGGTCTCTGAAACCTCATGATTAGTGAGATTTTATAAGCAACTTTATTCTTTATGAAAAAATCAACATTTTTCTTTAACTGCTGGTTTTAACCAAACTGGCGATAATGGTTACTGTATTTAATTTTCATTAATGACTTCCATAATTATTAATATATAATATTTTTACTGATCAGGAGCAAAGACATTTGCTTCTTAATTTTATTCTGATTTCTCTCGCTCAAAACAAAAAAAAAATATATTTAAATTACAGTACCGATAATAAATAATGTCACAATGACTTCTATGCTTTTTACTTCTATTTTTACGGGGTATCCCAAAACTCAACGTCAAGTCGAAACGAGGTGATAGAATTGACACATTCCACATTGTTTGAAAATTATGAGTTGTTAAGTGCAACCTAAAGCTTTGGTGATAAACGGTTAATATGGTTAATTTTTACCTCCCCGTAGGGTAAGATAAAGTAATCGCAAAAAATAGAAAATAAAAATTTTATATATCTTTACGTTTCAAAGGTTTCTGAACATTTTGGCATACCTTAGAAAATATGGATGTATGTGTGTATGTGTGAATGTTAGTGTATGTTGTGTAGTTGTGTGTGCGGATACAAATTTTCGTCGACGATTTCGGAAACTTTCGATTCGTATTGATAATGAGACGTGCTGATTATTTTGTGGTAAAGGCAGGTCGAGCCATTTCGAAGATACGGGGCGAAAAGTACCAAAAATGGTAATTGATTTTTTGAGAGAACGGAGCGATTTGTATGTTTCAAAAAACATTTTATTCGTACTGACCAAATGAAGAACTGATGAAATGTTTGGGTAGCAGGTCCGGCGGTTTTGGAGATCCAATAAAAAATGCCATTTGACGGACAAAATGATGATTAGACATATGCACATCAAATTAACACATATTTCAATCACAAATTTTGTTCATTATATGGGTTCCGTACCAATGTTTATCTGTTATACAGCGGCGCCCACGCGCTTCGATATTTCGTTTTTACGCAGCTAACGAATCGCGATTGCTTCCAAAATATTTCAAAGTATTAAAAAAATCGATTTTTTCAAAAAGGTCAATTATTTTCAAAAATTTTAAAAATACCAAAAAAAATTTTTTTACAGTTCTGAAAGCAAATTGATTATTTTTTAAAAATTCAAATGTTTGGTACGTGAAGTTCCAGCAATTTTGTTTTGCTGGAATTTGTTATTGCATTTGTTATTGCTTTTGTTCATTTAAATTTTGGAATCGTCACCATATAAAAAGCATTTCTATGCTTATAGTGAAAAATAATGACACAATTGCTCCAAGTTTTCAAGAATTAAGACTTTTTGTTAAACTATGAATTTAATCTGTCTACTTTGAGATGCCCTCCTTTAAAGAAAATGTACTAAAGTGTGATAGCAAGTTTCATCAAAAGTTGACGCATTTAATAAGTTAAAATACTTGATAGTAAAATGGTAAAATACTTGAGAGGTTCACAATGAAAAATTTTGAGTGAAATGAAAATCTGAAAATAACAAAGTAAAGGCTAACGTATTTCGCTTACATTTAGTTCAAATATTTCGCTCTCGCACATTGATTTTTTCATTATAAATTTATCAAGTATATTATCATTTTAAAAACCTGATTAAAAGCGCCAGCTTTTGATGAAACTTGCCAACACACTTTGATACAATTTTTTTAAGAGATGCGTGTCGAAATCGACCGATCTTAAAAATTTTAAATTCAAGTTCAACAAAGAAGTAATTCTTTAAATATTAGGTCAATTGTGGGTCGATTATTTTGGACAGTGGTTTTGGACAATGTTATTCATTAAATGTTATTCGAAAAATTGTCACAACTTCACCAAAGCTTTGGTTGCCCTTAAAAGCTAATAATTTCTAAACAACGTAAATTTCTTTTTGTTTTCTATTTTTGTCGCTTGACGTTGAGTTCTAGGATACTCTAACATATAAAATTTTATATTTTATGATTAACTAAATATTGAAAATCAATCTTATTTTAGACTCCTGAAATTACATTCAAAACACATTGCGTTGTAACTTAAACATCAATGCCACAATCACAATCTCAATAATACAACATTTACCGATTCGTTCTTATTTTTATTTCATCAGAATCAGAAGATCTTAAATATATTACTATATTTGTAGCATGATTAAAATTGTTTTAAGTGAATTGGTTTTGTCTATGTTTTTACCTTTATAGTTTAGTATTTTAAATCCCATGAAAGTGATTTAATAATGTATTAATTTAATTTAATTTTAATTGCAGAGTTATTTTGTGACAGATTATGATCCCACCATTGAAGATTCATACACAAAGCAATGTGTCATAGACGACATCCCAGCTAAATTGGACAGTAAGTGAAACAGGATTTATTATTATATAAAGATTACTTTTTAATTAATAAAAATAATTATATACAAATTATATTAGATTTAAGACATAGGTAACTTAATAATATAGTAAAACTTAATCGTGTACAAAAAACATTTTAATCGTGTTCTCCAAGTTATCTCTATTTTAAATATATCGTATAAAATTGATTTAGCTGAGACATTACTAATATTATAAAACAAATATGATTCATTAAAATGAACACAAAAAGCCTCAATACCTAAAAAATTTAATGTAGATAAAAAAGTTACATAATAAATATAAATACTACTAAAAGCTAAATTCAGTATGTAATATTGGAGCACAACAGCAACTTCAACTTTATTTTGAAATTTTTCGTAGTTTCTTACAGTTGATCTTGCAAAATATTTATCCAACTTAATTTCAACATTAAGTATTTTCTGTTCAAGCTTTTAAGCAAGCAATTTGATCACAATGGCTTATTTATTTTTTGCTCAAAAGGTACAAGTGAATTTTAATATTGATTATTCCTTGTGACTCATATTTACTACACAAATCACAATACACTTTTTTTTACATATAATCATCTTTGGACATTAAACATTTGTATCTCAAATATAAATAAACACACAATCACAATTTTATAAATCTACCATCACGCATTCTGATGTTTGTCCAAATGTTTTTCAAAAAATTCTAGTTCAGTACTTAAATCTTTGAGAAGATTTTGCCTGTCGGCTTGCTTCAAGTAACCTAATATAGTCTTCAGCAATTGAGTGTAAACTTCTGCTAAGGCTTGAACATCCGAATGTTTTGTTATATTCAAACACTTAGTGTAAAGTTTGTCTAAATGTCCTCGATCAATTATTACTTTCTGAGAGTCCGTTGGTTTAACCTCCGCCAAAAGATCAGATACATCTAAAAAAGTCATCAACAATTTCCATAGATATATTGCTATTATTTGATTGTTTACTAGTATTTGCATTTGAAGCATTGGTTTTGTTGTTAGGATCTGTTACTACCACTTTGGCTTCAGCCTCTCTTGCTCCTGCTTCTTGAATTTGATTTCGGATCATTCTGCGCTTAGCAATTTCTTGACATTCATCTTCAAAGTCTGTATCCATTTCTCCTTTTATTTTAGCATATGCATAGTCTTTTAAAGCAACAGCACAATGTCTTATCTTTTTATCAGCACTGGTCTTATTGGGGTTATATTCTAAAGCATTTGCACAGATTAGATCGATGTCTTGGAGAAATTCTTTGGCAGTTGTATATCGATTTAAATCTATTTTTGCTATCATTGTTTCTAAATCCATAGGTTGCTTAATAACATCTAAGTAATCTTTAACCTCATCTAAGTCTACTGGTTTTGCAAACATCCGAAAAGTGCGCTGTTTACTTAAATGATGGGCAATCTCTCTCAAAAATACACGTAACTCAACTAATTTCTCTTCTTCTTGAGATTCAAATTTTGCTAATTCTTCTGGTGTATAAATTCTAGCAGGAGGTGTGGGTGCTCTGGGTAAAACCTCTACTTTTCTTGTTTTTGGCTTCACTTGAGGAGGTTTCAGTGCCAAATTAACAAACAAAGGTTTGAAGAATTCTTCTCGAGACTGTCTCATTGGATGATTAGTCATTGGTAGAACACATCGTAAATGAGCAGGGAATAATGTTTGTATGCGATCATCTAATTCCTCAAGCATCATATTAGCAGTTGCTAATACAAGAACGGGTGAACATTTAGTTATTATCTGAATTTTTTCTGCAAGTATGGCCTTGGTGGCATCGGAAGCATGTTCCCACAGTAAGTCTAAAGAAGGCAAGTAAAGAATACTAGGCGCTCTACGCATGCATTCATCTAGCATGTGCGACACAGTTTGCTCTTGAGATAATGACAAATCATCAGTACCATGTATTGAGCTGACATCTAAATTGTAAACGCTCAAATGTTCCATGTGATGCAATAACGCAGGAGCCAAATAAGATTGGCCGCAACCTTCCGATTGTCCAAGAATCAGCAAACGCGAATGGAATAAAGCATGATCCTGCCTCAGAACCTGAACTTGTTTTGAAGTATCAGGATCCATATACGGAAAGACTTTTCCCAACCTCTCTACGGCGTCTTTCAAAGCTGCATCCAGGAGAGGTAATAAAAATCGCGGTAAACGTCGTCCATATTTATTTCCCTTTCGAGACCCGGCTGGTATTATTTGAGCTTGAGCTCTGAGGAAATCGACATGTTCGACTTTAACTTTCTCGGTGTCAATGGCTAATTTGAATTTTGACTCGTAAATTTGCGGATAAGTTCTTCGCAGGCTTTGAAGCATAGCTTCGGAACACAGCGCTTCAAGATCAGCGCCGCAGTATCCATCTGTTAGGTCTGAGAGCTGAGATATCATATCATCACCAGGTGCCCCATTTTTCCATTTAGATACATGAATCTTCAAAATAGCCTCACGCTGCGATCTTGCAGGTAGGGGAAAGAATAGCTCTCTATCAAATCTGCCGGGTCTTCTTAGCGCTGGATCTAATGATTCTATACGATTTGTAGCTCCGATAATTATGACATCGCCTCTTGCTTCTAAACCATCCATCAGGGTTAGTAATGTCGAAACAATACTTGAATATACTTGATCTTGTTTCGATGTACGCGCGGGACAAAATCCGTCAATTTCGTCGAAAAATATAATAGATGGTCTCATGAGCTGCGCTTGTTCGAATAACAATCTCAGATGTTTTTCGCTCTCTCCAAACCATTTATTTAATAAATCACCGCCTTTGCGTAAAAAGAAGGACACTTTTTGGCCTGTGTTAGCGGAACATTCACCTGCTAGCGCTCTAGCTAGTAAAGTTTTACCAGTTCCCGGTGGACCGTGAAATAGAACGCCTTTAGGCGGCTTTGTGCCAAATTGCGCAAATACTTCTGGATACAACATTGGCAAAATGACCATCTCTCGTAAGCAACGCACATGAGAATCCAAGCCACCAACTTGTTCAAAGCGGAAGCCATCATCACCAATGCTAAGGGGCTGAATATCAGATAATTTAATATGCGAGGTATCCATATCATTCGCCGGTTTTAGTTTATCTTTATGTTTTGCTGGGCTGGAACAAGCAACCGGAGGGCGTATATAGGGAGTTTGAGCTCTATCATCTTCTTCATCGTCATCGTCGTCACTGAGATCTCGAATGCGTTGTCGGGTTGCTCTCAAACATCTTCTACGGCGTTTCGGCTCGGGTTCTGCATTTGACCAAATGTCGTATTTATTGTAATCTCTGTGCGAACGATAGCTGCGCAAAGGTTTTCTTTGACGTAATTCATATATCCTGCCACCTCTAACATCGTCGCTTGAACTCTGTCTCTCACCTTCTTCATCTTCCATCTCGTCCTCCAATTGGGGAGAATCTTTACGGCCTGGTTCGGGTGTGGAAGTTCCATTGGGAAATTGAGATCTAGTATCAGCATTATTATTATAAGAAGCACGGGGGTTCGATTGATCAAGTATATCCATAGATGACGCTTTTTTATTTTGAGAAGTTTCGTCTTTTTGTGAAGATTTATTAGGTGAACTTCTAGACCTAGTTCGAATTCCACCACTATTATTTGCATCATTCTGTTCTTGTTCCGATCTTCTTGTGCTATTTCGTTGTTGACGGACATCATTATTATAATGTCTCGATCGGCGCTCGTAACGAGAATTCCTATAATTTACTACTACTTCAACATCATCATCATCATCATCGTCGTCGTCGTCATCCACTTCTTCATCTTCTACTGCTCTTGAAGAATATCGTCTTAATTGGCCAATTTTCGGCGAAATAATATCGCGATAATTGGTATTAGTTCTAGGTCGCAGATTTTTTCTAACTGCTCCATTTACACGCGAATGTTGTTGAACTCTGCGAGAAATACGATCGCTGTTTCGACGCGCGTAATCGGATGAGTCACTCTCAAAATCTAGCACATCCCTGCGGCGCTTTCTAGACCTGCCTAAAGCCCGTTGGTCATCGCTATCTTCCGACATTTTGCCGTCGTCCGCTCCGTCTGCACCTCCTCCACCCCTCCTTGCGCTGCTGAAGCGCAAACTCTTCCTTAGTATACCCAGCTTTGCAATTTACTGACAGTGGATAAAAAAATTATTGCCCAACTATCGATTGTTGAAGGCCGAACTTTCTTCAATATTTCATCCCTGTGATAGACAAGAGAATGAAAAAATATGACACTTTCCTTTTAGAGTAATGTAATATATATAACTGTGTAATACTTCTAGAACTTCATATAGAATTCAGTATAATATTTTCAGTCATTGTCTGCAACTGTCTGTAGATTAATTATCTTGGCTTCGCATCTTAATGATAGTAATGCAGTAACCAACAGAACTATAAACTTATTTCTTGCTTTTATTAAAAAATATAATTTTAGGATAATTTAATAAAACTTTAATCTTCTAACCTCTTGGGTATTTTTTATAAAATCGGCATTTGGTATAACAAAATTGTATATAGCTTTAAGATTATTTTTTCTATTTAAGTCCTGGATACTGCCGGTCAAGAAGAATTCAGTGCAATGAGAGAGCAATACATGAGAAGTGGTGAAGGATTTTTGCTCGTGTACGCAGTGACGGATAGGGCTAGTTTCGACGAGATGTACAAATTTCACAGACAAATCTTACGTGTCAAAGACAGAGACGAATTTCCAATGCTGATGGTCGGCAACAAAGCAGATCTCGAGACGTCTCGCGTGGTAAGTCAAGTCGACCCAGCGTATTTTTGAAGAACCTATATAGAAAAAAACAAAAGCATTAAATTTTCTATTATAAAGGTGACAAAAACTATACATCATAATAATTGATCATTTTTGACAATCGTTGTACCGTCTGTACGTTGTAAAAAAAAATTGCAGGGACGTAAATCATTAATGGCGTTAATGAAAGACCAAAGAGCAATTTTGAGTCATCACTGACTAATTTTATAGAGGTTAATTTAATCGTGGTAAATACCAAGCGATTGCAAATGTTTATATTTTTCCCTCGATATCAAGAGATATTATAAATGCTTTGTTTTTATTCAAAATATTTTATTTTCATCTCATGAAAGAGAATAAATAATGAATAAATACGCTGGTCTTAACCCTTTTAGCTACGAGTGTTTCTTGCAGGATTGACGCTGCTGAACGGAACGGCGAGTTGCTCAGTATAGTCCAGGGGGTATTCTACTGTAGAGTCATGAATTTCGCCCGGTTTTTGAAGCGCTGTATAAAGGAAACAAATAATATTTTTTCTATCGATTTTTTTATCATTTGTTTATTGATATTTTATTATTACATAAAAAAATTATTAAAAAAAATTAAAATTCACAAAGTTATGAGCAGTCAAAGTGGGGGTTCCCAAAAAAAGAGGGTGTCCTGGCGTACATGATTCCAACCCTCCTGGTGATTTGAAACATAAAAAATAGATGGATTCTTAATTATTATAGATGCCGCTATCGTATGAACCTTGGATAAGTTAAAAAAAATTTTTTGTTTGAATGGCGGCAGTTTGAAAAAAAAAATTTTTTTTCCTGTTTTTTTAACATTTCCGAATTTTTTAAAAATACTAAATGAAAAGTTATAGTTTTGGGCAAGGTCCATACGATAAAGCGATGTATAGAGAAGATTCTCTCCAAATTTGAAGTAAATCGGTTCATTAGAACTCATCCTTACCGCCAGCTCGAAAAAAGTAGTTCCGAGAAAAACGCGTTCAAAGTTTTGAGACAAGTCGGACCCGAACCGAGGCCACGTCACTAAAACGGCTATAACTCAGGAAATAATAGTAATTTTGAAAAATCCTTTTAATGACATATTTTTGAATAACTAAACTTTGAAAATATGAAAAAAAAAATTTTTCGGTTTTTTCAAAATTCTATAGTAGAATTCACCCTTAAGCTTAAATTAGGTAAAAATCTCGGAATTCGAGATCCCCAGCTGTAAGTTTGTAAATACTTGTATATTGACGCCCTAAAGTTGTCTCAAAACCTACATATGGTAGGGTGTCAATACCATATGTAGGTTTTGAGACAACTTTAGGATGTCAATATACAAGTATTTACTGACTTACAACTGGGTATCTCTAATTCCGAGGTGAACTTGCTATTATGGCTGGATTAGTAGCGCTACTGAACGGATCGAGCAAATCAATATATTTAAAAATTTCTATCATTATCAATGAAGATGCATTCAAAAATGAAAAATTACACTTTTAATAACTGAACATTATGATAAAAAATACAATTATTAACAGTTTAACTCATAGTAACATTTCTTGAAGCAAAAGTCGATGCACAACATGCCTTCTATAGACGACATCCGTATACACAGGTAGTCATGTGAATGTCGTCTATAGACGACGCTCGTAGCAAAAGGGTTAAGCATAAAATTTAATAAACCGTATACATCTCAATTTAATAAACTGTAGCAAATTGAACTAATCATTATACGTCAGGAATTCAAATTCGTCATAAAACATAACTCTTTGACTTTTAAACAAATAATATTATTGAACAAAAATACAAACAATTTCACAATAACAGATCGCAGCATGGGATAATATTTAATTTAAATTGCTAGGCGAGCAAATGCATTAATACCGTGGTTTCCAACCTGTGGGACGGGATGCCTCAAAGGTTTGTTACAAAGGGTCGTACAGTTTCCAAAATACTGTTTTCGAATAATAAATGATTATTATTTATGTATATTTTTACATATTAATGTATATTAATAAGCAGTCTGATAATTAAATTGTATCAGTCGAAAATTGTAAAATTATATTGTTTATATTATTATATTGGAAAAGGTCGTTTTATTGGAAAAGTTTTGTACAAAAATCTATCTCAAAAAATTGGATAGAATTATATGTTACCTTGTCATAAAGGTCGATGACTGATTTTAATGACTTAAAAGCGGTTTAAATTTCGTTTTGTAGTGACAGTTTGAAATGCTGTTGTTTTAAAATTGTCATTGTGACATATATAAGCCGAATAATATACTAATATATTTTTCACTATATAACCCTTTCCACTCGGATGCCGTTACTCCGGCGGCAAAGTACGTATTGATTCTGCAATTCGCGACTGGTATACCAGCGTAAATATCAGTAAAAATTATAGCAAAATTAAATAAGCGATTTTTATACATTTGTTCAGAAATTGAAAAAATGTTTATATTTTAACCTAACTTCATAGTATACTCATTTTGATTGTTACAGCATAACTTCCTTTGATGACTTGAATCAAAGTTCTCGCAATTTAAAACCTTAAACAAATTGGGGGCCAATTCTCCGGTAAAATAGACCATAACATAGCGTTGTTATGGCAACGTTATGTTATGCTCCTTACTTAGCACCCTTGGTACTGAAAACTGCCAAAATTCTATGTATTTGCTGTGCAATCAGGCGTTTTACACATAAAACTAAACTTCGTGCATGTGTTATAAATGCACATCAGGAAGATGTTACGATAATATTCTTTTTTTTGACAATTGTGTGTCTTCTAGGTTGGGCTTTATATCTAAAACGTCTGACTGCACAGCAAATGCATAGCATTATGACAATTTTTAATACCAAGAAAGGAACGTTTCCAGATTTTACCTGAGAACTGGCCGATTTATACTAATTTTCCGGAGAAATTGAATTTTGAATATTATCAAAATATATCTATTTTTTTAACATTAATAATAAATACCTATATAATTTATGTACACATGGGTTGCAAAAATCGAAAAGTTATTGATTTTTTTTCCTCTAGGTGTCTGTAGAAGAAGCGCAAAATCTGTCAAGACAATTAAAAATACCTTACATCGAATGTAGCGCTAAATTGAGAATGAATGTTGACCAATCCTTCCATGAACTAGTTAGAATTGTCAGAAGATTTCAATTATCAGAAAGACAGATACCAATTAAATCCAATTATAAGGATAAAAATAAGAAAAAATGCTGCATCTTGTAAACTAGTTAATGACAATACTTATATGAATAAGCATGGATCATATTCAATACGACCATATTTTTTGTAAGTATTTTTGGAGACAAAATATTAACATTTTTGAGTTGGATCAAAAAGAACTCAATATTTCTCTGAATATTTTTTGATTGAAGTTTTCAAACAACATAATTCAATACAGAATCTAAAATTAAATAAGAACGCACACACATAATTACTGTGATTGGAAAATGCCTTCTTAGGAAGAATATATATCAAAGTATAATTAATTTAAAGTTATATAAATTTATATAAATTAATATATGTAGTTAATATATTATATGAGTATGAAAAAAGAATTTCAGGAACATTGCAGATTTACATTACTAAATTTTGTTTTCTACAAAAAAATATTAGCATCACACATCGAAAAGTTGTAACTTCCAATTATTTATTTATTGTTCGATATTTGAAGGAAATGCCAAAATAAGCCTATGTAAAGTACCTAATCAAACATATTTTTGAGATATGTGACATATGTTTATAAAATAAAACTGCAACTTCCATATATTTAGCTTAGTAACTAATGTAAAGCAGCTTTAATTAAGCAATTCTAACGACGTATTTACATGAAAATCCATTTAAAATTTGAATAATAATATATGTATATTCGTATTATTGCAAGAACTTGTGTTAATATATAAAAAAAATATTGATTATAAAAATGATAAGAAATAAATTACTTATATCCAAAATGCTATAGTTTAAGATAATAATTAAATGTTGCTTTATAAATTGTAAGGTGCTCTAGATATATATATATATATATATATATATATATATATATATATATATATATATAATATATATAATTATGTATATAATATTCAATATGTAAACTAAACATATATATAATATAAATAACAATGACAAAAATAACTCAATTGCACAAATGTAACTGCCATTTATGTGTTTTAATAATAGAGTTTTTAATGAATGTTTAAACTAAACTAAATGTATTGCGTAATAAATAAATATTCAAATAATTATAATGTAAAATAATAAAATGTATTTGTATATTTGGTTTATTATGAAATAAACTACTAAAAAGAGAACAACTTATTTATCCAAATGTAGAATCTTTAATAAATATTTGAGTTGTTTTTGGTGGTGTTCGATGAGTCAATTTTTCAGCAACAATTAGCAGTATCAATTGAAAATTGGAAATTAAAAAAGGCTTTTAGAGTGGAGATAAAGCTTTTTGTATCAAAGATTTGTTTCAAGGTTCTAAGAAGAATGGAAAAGAATGTACAGTGCAAAAAAGAATGACATCCTTAATATAATTAGAATGACACTAAAAAACTAAATTTAAAAAAAAACAGTTGAAGAATTAACTATATAATATAACACAATCCAAGAAAATAGTAAATGAACATTTATACAAAATAAATGAACGAAATATAAATATTTCATTAAAATATTGTGAATTATTTAGGAAAGGAATGCATTGAGATAGGATGCACTTCATGAGGTAAAGAAATGCCATTATTTTATAAATAATAATTCGAATCCACTTTGATACCAGGATGATTATTTACGGTCATAGCTTACGGTGTATATTTTTAATCATAATGAAATAAAATGTAATTACAAAGAAAAGAAACTTATATTTGAGCACAATACATTTTTAACAAACAAGGTAATAATACAAAAGCATTGAATACATTAAAGTTTTCAAGATGAAAGCAGAAGGTCATTTCTTCTGGAAGATCAGAGCTACAATTGTATAACGCTTATACAATACTGTAAAATATAAACTTACCAAATCAAAATCATAACAGCCATGTAAAAAATCTACAGGTGATCATTTTGCAATAACTAGAAACTTCTCAAACATCTGAAAACGATAAGAAATACAAAATTAATTGCATTATTTATGAAACTACAACATTTATGAATCCAGTAACAAATTATTTAATATTTGAATGTTTTAAATATTTAATATTATTAAATGTATTGTAACAAATTGAAATAGAATGTTGTATTGCTTTAAACATTTTATAGTCCATGAAACAAAACTATCAAAATAATAAACAAACCGCTGTGGGAATTTAACACTTGTGTATATTACAACAGAAATTTTATTTAATAAACAACAGCATCAAAACATGCATTATGACAAACAATTATAAAACAGGATTGTACTTTTATGTATAGATTTTTTAATTATATTACTGCAAGCATTAGCAATTTCAAAATATGATTACAGTAAGAAATTTATTCAGAAAAAATAAGGAAAACATTAAGTAGGTGATGCATGAAATAATCCTCAAAATCTGCATTTTACAATATTCCAAGCAAATATTGGTGTCTAAAATTTATATGTGTAAAATGTATTAAAGATTGATAATGAAAACCGAGAAAATTTTAAGTAACCTACATTTATAATTGGTTTTCAATATATGGAACATTTAAGAAAAAGTGTTGCAAATGTACAAGTAGCAATATAAATTTCTGTGTAATATTTAGTTTAGTCGGTGACTACGCAGGATTATGGGACACTATTATAAAACATTGTATTTTCATGTACATTTTTTTATTTATATTACTGCAAACATTAGTAATATCCAAATATCATTATTTATTCAGTAGCTCAATGGACTGATTAATAGTTAAAAATAAAAATAGTGAATGGGCGTTGCATGAGCCAATCTATAGAATTTGCATTTTTACATCATTCACACAAAATGTCTGTTTCTAAAATTTATATGTGTAAAATATATTGATATTGATAATGATAAATGATACATTTTTCAATATATGGAGCATTCAATGAAAAGTGTAGTAAATGTAGAAGTTGCAATATAAACTTTGTGAAATATTTAGTTTAGTCGATGTATAAGTATGCATTATAACAAACAATTATAAAACAGGCTTGTAGTTTTAATTATATATTTTTTAATTATATTACTGCAAGCTTTAGTAATCTTTAAATATAATTATAGTAAGAAATTTATTCAGTAACTGAATGAACTGATTAGTAATTAAAAATAAGAATAGTAAATGACCGTTGCATGAGCAAATCAACAGAATATGCATTGTTACATCATTCATAAGAAATGTTTGTTTTTAAAATTGAAGATTAATTAGAAGTTAAAAATATGAAGAACAGTAGGTGGGTGCTGCATGAGCTAATCTACATTTTTACATCATTCACACAAAATGTCTGTTTCTAAAATTTATATGCGTAAAATATATTGATATTGATAATGATAAATGATACAGTTTTTAATATATGGAACATTCAATAAAAAGTGCTGTAAATGTTCAAGTTGCAATATAAATTTTGTGAAATATTTAGTTTAGTCGGTGTCCAACAAAAAGCATGCATTATGACAAGCAATTATAAAACAGACTTGTAGTTTTAATTATAGATTTTTTTAATAATATTTCTGCAAGCATTAGCAATCTTCAAATAACATAATAGCAAGAAATTCATTCAGTAACACAATGGACTGATTAGAAGTTAAAAATAAGAAAAGCAGTAGGTGGGTGTCGCATGAACAAATCTACATAATCTGCATTTTTGCATCACTCACAGCAAATATTTGTGTCTAAAATTTATACATATAAATTGTATTGAAGATTGATAATGATAAACAAAGAAATTTTAAGTAACCTACTATTTTTAATTGGTTTACAATATATGGAGCATTTAATGAAAAGTGTACTAATGTGTAATAAATGTACAAGTTGCAACATAAATTTTGTGAAGTATTCAGTCAATATTCCAAATTTACGTCAAAAAAATATATAAAGTAAGGAATTTGCAATTTTTACTTGTTTGTATGTACTTGAAGATTGGGCTTGTAAGGTTATGTATGTGTTGCAAGACTAGTTAGTATTGGTAAAATTCTTTGTCTATTATTTTTACATATGAATGAAAAAAGCTGCACAAATAGATCATTAATTGATTTATTTAACTTACCACTTTACACTCAAATTCATTTATAACACACTCAAAGTCTCGAAATAGCTCAACTATCTACACAAAACCCAATATAAACTGTCACATCATATTCATTGCTAGAAAAAGCAAGACGGCGAATGAAGTGTGTTAGTCATAAAATCTATACCGACGAAGAGCGCCAACTTCAAATGATGTCAAAATACATTTTATTATATCGAAACAAAGTAGAAATATTATATTATAATATTATAAAATATAAAGTTTAAATATCGTGGTTAATATATTTTTAAAGTATTTCATCATTATTAGTACCAAAAAAGCTCCATAGTTATCTAATGTACGTGACCCATGTAATACTACCAACATAACAAAATTACCGCGAAATTCAAAAACGATAGCCAAAGGAAGAAATAAATTCATACTAACAACTCGTGTAAAACTCTAAAAATTATTCATTATATCATATCCTAGACAATATACTAATATAGACGTTTCTCTCTCGCGGTATTTGCGTTCAGAGAGCTAGGGAAAGTCACGACCGCAATATTGGGTGATGGCGCTTTAATCGCATGTCGCTCGGCAGCCTCGTGCTCCAAAATGCATTCAAATTAAAGCGCCAAAATTAGAAATAAAAGAAAATTGTCAATTTTAAAAATAATTTATTTGTATTTAAATTTTGCATTACAATAGTCTTATATTGACATTGTTATACAATAACAAAACATACCAAACAATAATACATATATTAAAATAGATATCAAAGTAAATAGCAATATGTTGCAACAAACATATTTATTTAAAAAAAAGGAAAAATAAAAAGTTTAACGAATTACAGGATTCCTGCCTTCAAGTGGATAATCATTCATTATTCACTACCAATAATGTTGTGAACACAAAACATGGTGTTTAAATTATAGTGTCTGTGCATTACTTTATTAACTAATAATCATTCCAAGTAAGATTTGTCACTTTTCAGCACATTCTTTGCGATAAATCCAGTCATGCTAAATGGCTCTTGATATTATCTTGAATATTCAAAAAACTGCTGCATTAAATTAACTTATTTTATCATCTTGCACGGCAATTGGATTTCGTTCATTAACTCAGTGGCGTTCCTAAAAAATGTAAAGTCTAGTCTATTTATGCTTTTCCATATATATTTAAGAGCCTCCAAAGTTTAATACAATTCTGAAAAGTTAGAGGAGCCTTGCCTTTCTTATAAAAGAGCCCTAGCTTGCTCCCAAAATGTATTGTGATTAAATTTTTATTATATACACTGCTTTAACAACTGCTTTATATCCTCTTCATTTAAGAGTTATAGATTTTGTTTGAATCACAAATAAAACCGTATAAACAATTATAAAACACTTGTAAACACAACAATCATAATAAGAATCAAAACAAAATTTTGACATTTCTGGTACATATTGCTCGTGAATTACTAACCTGTCAAACTTGTCATCGGCTCACTAGCGCCAAATTTGCGCCTAGCGGTCGTGACTGGAACTACGCGTTGTGAACGCGGATTTTGTACTGAGATAATAGGGCCTGATATCATATGCTAATCTTGTCTAGGATTATGAACTACCTAAATTTTAATCCACAAATAGAGTACTAGTTTGGAATATGTATCTGTTTATTCAATTTTCTTTTCCAAATAAAATTTTATTTAATCTTTACACTTGACAATAAAAACATTTTGTAAAAAAAGATAATTCCATTCACAGTTATTGCAATTATATTTCACATATTCTAAAAAATAAGATAAAATAATTTGCAAAACAGATTTTATATAACATATGTTGATCTAGTGTATTTTCTACATAAATTATTTTTTTAAGCTCGGCTAGCCAAAGCTCCTAGATCAGCAATGCATTTATTGATGTTTTCCTTTTCTTGATCAGGTGTTAAAGATTTCAAAACTGAGTCTACAACCCAGTTAACCATGTGTTTCTGAGCAATGCGTTGTTCAATATTCTGTTTCTCAACTTGGTAATCTAATCGTTTCTTAACCTACAAGAAATAATAGAATTAAGTCTAAAAATATAATAATGTTCTTTGCATCAAAGAAATGTTTAGTTTTACTATTTAAATATCTATCATAATTCAAAACAGTAAATTGTTGATCTTGAACATAGAAAAAATATTTCATAAGACGGATCCATCAGTATAATGCATAAAATGCCTCATACTGCACATAATCGAATACTTACCTCCTGATACACTTTCATGGCGCGTTCCCTGTAAGCTGCTTCAAGTTGCAAGGCAACATTTTCACGTTTTGCATCCATCAACATAAGTTGACCTTCAGCTCTCCATTGTTCCAACTTTTCTCCTTCAATGGCATCTTGGTAACTTTTAACTTCTTCTACACGACCTGAATTCCATTCATCGGCATAGGCCTAAAATCAGTATTTATAATGCATAAAAACTTTATATTATAGGCACAAACAATATTACTTTGCTCTTATTTGGTGATTAGAATTACTTAAGCAAAATTAAAGTATGTAATTCATTTTAGCAGTAATTTATAAATTTTACATTTTACAATTAAATTTACATATTACATTCCAATTGCCAAACTCCAAATGAATATATTTCAGACTTACATCAACTTCTTTGTCCAAGTATTTTGCAATATGTGGACCCAACTTTTTAGTGGCATAGAGACAGATAATACCCAATGAAATACCAGTATAGAATTCATGCTCCATAACGTAAATTTCCTTTGAACATAAGTAAGTAATTAAACCAGTTCCAAACATGTAAGGTCCAGTAACACCGGTCTTCTCATAGAAAAATTCAAACCTTTTAATAAAGAGAGTATGATTATAAAATAATAAAAGAAACTGAACATTAATATTTTTATTTTTATACATCATTTAACTGAGCAAATAGTATTTTTGAAGTAAAACTTCTTGAGGCGCGATTAGGGTGCGACCCGTAGAAATGCAACTGAAGTGCGGTACGGCCGAGTCGAGTGCCAATAATTCGTCATTCGCTTTCGTTGATATCATTTGTATACGGGTCGATTGTGATTAGTCGTCGTGTATGCGAATAGAGATCTGTCGATGAATGCGTACCGGGATCAACGTTGTATGGGTACTGATATCAACATAGGACAAAGAAATGAGCATAAATAAACATTTTAAAGTTACATCATAGTACAAATCTTGACTTAATCAAAAATGCCTGAATCAGAAGAATATTTTACCCTGTTCATTAAGATATTAAAACAAATTAAACATTTTTGCCCCTAAGTTTATTGATTACAAATTATTTCTATATTATTTGTAGTTTCTATAAATCTTTTAAGTTATTAAAATGGTAAATATATTTTAAGCAAGACAGATATTACAGCTGTTCAAAGAATGAGATTACATCGGCAGCGAAAAAGTGCAAAAAATACAAGCAGTCAATGAATGTATGTTAATTTTAATTACATGAAGTTCTTCAAATACAATTACATGATGAGCAAAGTTGCAAAAACAATATTTGCTTAGGCATTGTTTAACATAATCCACTGGTTGAACAAATATTATAGAATTTATTAATCAGCAATTACTTCATTTTTCTAATGATGGTCCATTTCTAAATGCTAATTACAATGACAAACCGATCATGTCATATTTGAAGTATGACTTAAATTACATTATTGTTTTTAAATATTATACATATTTTCAATGCTATTAAAAATATACAATTTATAATTTATCATTAATAAATGCGTATAATGGTTGAAACTAATAAATGTGTGCATCACGAGTGTTACAATATTACTAATAAACATTCAAAATTGTTATGATGTATTTATTTTTACTTAAATGCCATCTTGTACAGTAGCAAATAAATTTTACTTCAATCTCGTGTGAACCTTACGTGTACCCTTTTTTTTATACTAAAACGTACCATGAGTCTGGAATGAATCCAAAGCGAACTTTAGGTGAATGTTCCAAACGTGTTGGCCTTGGGAAGTTGACCAAATCTCTTTCAGCACTATCGGCTTCTTCTACCTTTGTAGGAGCAGGGCATGTTGCAGCCTGGGATGTTGTTCGCACTGCCACAGTCAGTGGCCGGGATACCTTGGCTATTAACAAGAAAATAGTTGTATACATTTTACATTACTTATGATAAATGATAATTGATTTGATTCATTATTTGTTATGAATTAAATGCAATAACAAAGATATCTGTACATTTGATTGTGCGCTAGAGAAAATCATACAACAGCTATAGTAATAAATTGTGAAATGGAAACTTAAGACCTCAGCACCTTTGCTACAGATTGTAATTTCAATAAAATATTGTGCACTTATCTAACATGGTATTTAAATATTGAAGAAATTTTAACCAAAATTTGGACATTTAAAGCAGTAGAAATGTATATACATCTTATGCATGAAATCAAAAATTAATACACCAAATAAAAAATAATCCTTAGAACTTTCTGGGAAGGACTATTTATCTTTTTACACATGTCTTTATTATACAATTTGCAAGGAAGAAAACTGTCAAGTGATTACATAAAGTCTAAAGTGTTCATGATTTTCACTGCACGCACATCATTAATATAAATATAATAACTATGTAACATGTATTATTATAAAAAATATTACAAATTAAACAATTATTTACCCAAAAGCGAAGCTTTAGACAGCATTTTTTATCAAAAAGTCTAATACGAATTGATCGAAAAGTGGCCACCACTGCCGTCAAAAAATAAAAAATTTTACTTGTACTAAAACAAGGATGCCAACAAGAAGACACTAAAATTTTATTATTCTTATAGTGTTAACTTGAGCACACGTGATCTTCTTGCTGTCAAAATTATGTCGTTGACAGATGACATTTATGTTTGTATTTTTAGAGAAATATTTCTAAAACTTAGTATTGCTTTGCTTTTATTAATGGATTTATTATAATGGGTTTGTGCTCGTCGTGTTTCAATCCTACTTCAGATGAAATACCTCAGCCAGATATGGTAATTGTCCAGAGATTTGTAGACAAATAATTTTTATACAAATAGTGATCATGGGTGTGGGAATAAAAATTTGTAGTTTCTTTAATTATCAGAATAATTTAGTTTGCTCACTAATCAACATGATGAAATGTGTATGGGTGTGTATGCCTCAATAGTTTAGAACTAATGTTGAAATTGAGCATTAATAATCTCAGCCTCTGGCATTATTTACAATTTATAATAATTAATTAATTTTGAGATGAAAAACGATCAGTTTATCTACTTGTAGAATTTAAAAGTAGTTGTAAATACATATAAAAGCTCGTTTTAAAATAAATATTAGTATCTCTATTATGCAATAAGTTTCAACTTGATTCTTTCCACTCCCGGTATATAACAAACTTGATCTAAATAACTCAAAATGCAAAATTCTTAGTTTTACACATAAGCAATTTTCAATACATTTAGGTTATAAAATTTATAACACCTGCATAGATAGATATGATAAAATATCTGACCTCGGCATTTTATTTGATTCTAGTTTGCACTTTGCATTCCACATGTCTAATATTTGCAATAAAGCTCATAAATTGTCAGAAATGTTTTTAAGGAACTGTAAAGATTTTAATTTAAATCAGTTACTAATTTGTATGTACAGTGGAACCTCGATTAACCGGACTAAATGTTGTCGATAGGCATCCGGATAATCCAATGTATGAAGAATAATGTTGGGTATTTATTAAAAATAAGAAATACAACAAAAATAATATTTATTAAGAAATTGAAACTTTCTTAGGCATGTACATATATATTTTTTTTAGATTACATTACATACATATACTAAACTGCAGCATTAATTGTGTAAAAATTCGAATTGCAGGTATGTACATGCATATAAATTAGTCGCGGTAAGTAGTCCAGATAATCGCGAATCTGTATAACTGAGGTCCGGATAATCGAGGTTCTCTTGTACTATACGGTCTAAGTTTGAGTATGGATCAATCATTTGATATCTTTATTATAGGAATAACTCTGATGCGAGATAGAAAAGGTTCAACATATAAATTTTTTAAATTATCTACATTTTAAAATGCACTAAATTTATACTGAACGTGCATTTGAACACAAAACAATGCTTAATAAATTTAGCATATCATCTTTTGCCACAAGTCCTTTTATCTATAATATTTTGTTCCTATATAAATTTTTTAATAATGCTAAAGAGACTAATCTCAACCATCTTTAATATCTAACCAACTATCTTTTAACATTCCTAGATTATCTTCACGAACACAAATATTTTTTAATTATCCTATTCCTAAATCTAATTCTCTGTTAAATTCACCTAATATACTAATGTCCTCAATTTTAAACTCAAAAAACTTTTACTGAATTAATAAAGATATTGATATTCACAATACTTCACAATTTCAAATATTGTAATAATGCTAAAGAGACTAATCTCAACCATCTTTAATATCTAACCAACTATCTTTTAACATTCCTAAATTATCTTCACGAACACAAATATTTTTTAATTATTCTATTCCTAAATCTAATTCTCTGTTAAATTCACCTAATATACTTTTGTCCTCAATTTTTAACTCAAAAAACTTTAACTGAATTAATAAAGATATTGATATTTACAATACTTCACAATTTCAAATATTGTAATAATGCTAAAGAGACTAATCTCAACTATCTTTAATATCTAACCAACTATCTTTTAACATTCCTAAATTATCTTCATGAACACAAATATTTTTTGATTATCCTATTCCTAAATCTAATTCTCTGTTAAATTCACCTAATATACTAATGTCCTCAATTTTAAACTCAAAAAACTTTAACTGAATTAATAAAGATATTTATATTCACAATACTTCACAATGTCAAATATTGTAATAATGCTAAAGAGACTAATCTCAACCATCTTTAATATCTAACCAACTATCTTTTAACATTCCTAGATTATCTTCACGATCACAAATATTTTTTAATTATCCTATTCTTAAATCTAATCCTCTGTTAAATTCACCTAATATACTAATGTCCTCAATCTTTAACTCAAAAAACTTTAACTCAACTAATAGAGATATTGATATTCACAATACTTCACAATGTCAAATATTCTTCCCCTACTCAACTTACTTAATCTTAATTTACTAAACTTAAACTTCATTACTCTTTTCAAATATGTTTTATTTAATTATTTATTTTATATTCTGTCTATTTATGAAATTTTTACATTATGTATTTTACTATGTTGTATGAATTATAATTGTATTTTTAAAACCTCTTGGAACTATTTTATGGGCTATGTTATAAAATAAATATATAATTAAATAATTACTCTAATTAAATTTTTTTTACTATGTTCATGAAATATTAACAGTTCAAATTATTCAAAGGCTATCCGAAGGGCCCAAATGGCAGAAGCTGCAGAGAAAAGGCGAATAGAAAATGAATCTCGTGGAATTAAAGATATTGATAAAGTTCGGAGGCAACAGCAGAAAGCAGCCGAGTTAGAAAAACGTCAGAATGAAATAGATAGACAAGGAGGCGGTGGAGATCTTTTACGAGTTAGTACAGAATTTTCTGCCTTATTTCTATAATCATAGCAATATTTTATCTTTTTTCTTATTTTTCAGTGGCAACAAGATTGAACTGCAGTAACAAGCATTTGATGTGTTCATTATAATAATATATTACATGATTTTTGAAATTATTTATATGTTGTTTTCAATTATTTATTTTATTGATGTTGTTAAATTGTTATAGAAACTTTTATATGAATAATAAATAAATATGCACTTTGAAATTTAACACAAATCTTTAAATTAAGCATTATAACTCCTGTGATATATAATTATCTTATTGTTAGTGTATTTTATCATATCATAAAAATGTCAAATTATGGTAGATTAATTATTTTTTTATAATGAAGGAACAAATATGTTTAAAACTACATAACGTGATTTTTCCCATGTATTAAAATGTAAGAGGATTATTCCACCTTTTGAAACATTACATATTTTATAACATCATTATATAATTTTTTAATGTCCGAGGGTTATATATTAGCAGCATTTCGAAATGCTTATATAAAAGATATGAACTATAATTACAATTTAACCTGGTTACTCAAACAAAATCTAATCAAGTTGGAGTTTAACTCAGCTTACGGTCCTGCCTTAGGGCTGTACTACCCCTTATTATTTATTCAAACAATACATTACTATTATAATTTGCTTGCTCAACTATTTCAACTGCAAAGCAACAATGAAGGCATATGCAAACTTTGATGAAGTTTCAGTAAAAACTTATTGTTTACTAAGATAAAACTTGAGTGTAAAGTAGTAAATATTTTAAAAGTTTACTAATATTTTTATGTTAAATTTGTAAAGTATGTTTCTCATTTGCATAATTGTTTTAATGCAAGAAATTGTGCTTAAAAAATATTTTGTATAAAATTATAAGTAGATTATAGATCTGCTTTTGTTTGAATTGCTTAGAACTGAAGATTTATATTATATATATAATATGTAATAAAGTAATTTGATAAAGTAATTTTTTATTTAATATTTGAATTTTTCAACTTTTTAAAATAACTTTATGTGAATAAAATATCTTAAATTATATATCTAATACATCTTATGTATTATACATTAATACATCTTATGTATATCTAATTAGATATATAATTTAAAATATTTTATTCACATAAAGTTATTTTAAAAACAAAAATTACCAAGTTGAAAAATTCAAATATTAAATAAAAAATTACTTATCAAATTATTAAATTGAATAGTTCATTGATCATTAAATAATTGATTGAATTGATGGACTCTAATGAAATAATTAATCATTTATTATTTCTATAAATAGAAAAAAATATGGATAGGTTTTATGGATGTATAAAATCCAAAAAAAATTTACGCTCAATATAATCTGTAAATCAATGTGCATAACCTGGACTCCATAAAAAAGTATAAAACCCCATTTCCATTACTTTAGGAGAACAATCATAAATTTATGATATATTAATATATATTCTATCATTGTCTAGGAAAACTATTTATTGACTACAATTATAAATCAAAGGATAATAAACGTTGTATATATCAATCGAACATTAAAACAATTAAACTCAAAGTAATCACAAGTATGATCATAAAACACAGTGACTTTTTTCAAATTTACCGCGCTGCGATTAGTGTGCACTTCAGAGCAATGCTAAAGGTTGTCAATTTGACATCACTATTTATTTTTATCAACACATCTATAGGTTATCCAATATTTTTGATTATTTAATTTTATGGAAAATTGTTGGTCACTGATTATTTCAATTTTAATTTTGAGCTGACGCCATCAGCCTCACGCATTTAAAAAAAAATCATCTTATGAATTTGTGAATATCAATATTTACGTAGTTTTTGGCAATAGCAAGTTTTTGTGAAGAAGCACTTAAAAATGCCTATTAATCAACGCGAACTTTTACAAGCTGTTTCTCAAATTAGCGAATTGCAAAGCATGCGAGTCACTATTAGACAATCCGGAAAATGGGGCTTAATCACAGGAGCCGCTGTTTTTGGTGGAGGATTATTGTTGGGTCCAACTGGTTTAGCTTTGGGAGGTATAATTGGTGGCTGTGCTGGAGCTCTTAAATCAAGAGGTAACTTTATTATAGAATTTCTAATTACTAAAAGCAACTTATAGTTAACTGTTACAGTCTTGATGGGTGATGCAATGTACCACACTTTTCATTCACGATACGACACAGCAGTGCATATAGTGTGCCATAAAATAAATATTTTTCTTATGCTTTGGATACTGTTTCTCAAATTGTACCTTCTCAATATAACACTTCACTCAATGGGTTTGCAGGATTATTTACATTTGGATATTGAATAATTCATAATTGTTAATGCCTAAGGCTCAACCCTGTTTTAAATCAATCAAATATATTTTAATGCTTTTGTAAAAGGATAAAAATTATAAAACCTAATCCTTCATTGTAATATATCATGTACCTTGCAAACCCTTAAATATTAATCCTTTCTTCCGAGAAACTATTCTTCCTTGAACTCATTTCAATCAAATTGCAGGTCAACTGATGATGTAAAAAATGTAATGGAATGTCGCTTAAATTCACAAAACGGACCAATCAGAAAATAATATAAAGATATAGAAAAACCTGTAAATCAGTAATATCTCAAACTTCATCTAACAATAAGTAGCAAGTCTAAAATTAACATTCAAACAAGTAAGATTAACTCAACTTTATATCAACGTATTATTTTATCTAAGTATTGTTAATTCAATCGGTCTGATATAGCCATTATCTAATTATATCTGGTCCTGTGACAATAAAGCGAAATGTACTAATTTAATAGAGTTCGGCAGCATCAACAAACTTCTATTTATCTATCATCTTTTTTAATCTATCTGGTGTCATCACAATAGTTGACATGGACTATTTAGTATCAATTTTAGTAAATATATGTTATATTACAGATTATGGAAATGAATATTTAAATTTTCAATATCTAAATATAAACTAGCTGTAAGTGGAATTCTGTCTTCAGGCAATTATGGCATCGTGCCTTAAGGCAAATTGCTGGAACTTCCCGTACCGTAACAAAATGTTCGAGGAATACTGAATGTTTTCAAATAGATTATTATAAATATTGTAAAATTGTCTAATATTTATAAGAATTATATAAATTGAATTGCAAAGTTGAAATTATTTGTAAAGTATATTAGAACTATAGTCAGAATTAAAAATAAAATCTGAATTATTTTCGATATACAAAAAATTAAAAAAAAAAAAAAAGTTCAAACAAATTTTTTTTCCAAAATCAATTATTTTGTTAAGACAAGCAGAAAGTTCTTTGAATCATTTAAATCGGACGCTTAGTTCTCTCAAAAACTGCCATTTTTTACATATTTAGCTCCGTATCTTCGAAATGGCTGGGCCTGCCTTTGCCAAAAACTAATAAACACTTCTCCCAATCATTACTAATTGAATGTTTTTTAGATCATTCAAATCGGATACTCCGTTCTCTCAAAAAGTCGAGTTCTATTTTCTGCACTCTTTGCTCCGTATCTCCGAAACGGCTGGACCTGCCTTTGCCAAAAACTAATCAGCTCTTTTCCCTATCAATAGGAATCGAATGTTTTTTAAACCATTCAAATCGGTTGATCCGTGCGCCCGAAAACGTGACTGGAAATTTGTATCCATACATACATAAACACACACACACACACACATCCATTTTTTCTGAGGTATGCCAAAATGTTCAGAAACCTTCAAAACGTCGATAAATGTAAAAATTTTCAATTCCGATTTTCGGCCCATTACAATAACTTACCCTACGGAAAGTTAATAATTTGATGGACTTATTGATAGATGTGTTACAGCAATGTATTCTGTTTCTATAATCAATAATAAAATATTATTCAATTGTAACTTTTGTTTCCCACGTTAAAAAAAAAGGAGACTTTTCAGTACCTCTAAGTGTTAAAAGAATGCTTTTATGAAAGATATGTTTGATTTTTTGGCCAGTCTAAATTATGATTGCGTGATACATAGTTTGGAATTTTTGATCTTTATACTTCAATACATTAACTGAGACGAATAGTTAACATATTGTAAGAGTTGCTATTTTTATCATTTGAAATATTAAGACCTATTGGTATGCATCGAAAACTAAAAAAAAATTTTTTTGAAATTTTGAATTAAAAAAAAATGTTTTTGCCTTCTCCAAAAATTAACCATATCTTGTTTAACCATACAATGTCAACAAAGGCAAAATGTTATTTGAATCATTCTAGGATTTCGGAGATACAGAGTAAAGTGAAAAAACAGCAGTTATTGAGAGAACAGATCATTTAATTAGAACAATTCAAAAAATTGATTTTCCTTGTGTTGATAGTGTGAAGAAATTCTCAGTTTTTGGGGAAGGCAATTTTTTTTCTAATTTAAAAAAAGCATAATATACGAAAATGAAAGCTATAATATTTATAATAATCTATTTGAAAGCATTAAATATTCCTTGAACATTTCATTACAGTACGGTAAATTCAAGCAATTTGCTTTAAGCCACAATGCCATGCAACAATAGGTAACTTCCCCTAGGGTAAGTTACTGCAATCATCCAAAATCGAAATTGAAAATGTTTGCATATCTTCACGTTTTGAAGGTTTCTGAATATTTTGGCATACCTTAAAAAAAATGGATGTGTGTGTGTGTGGATGTATGTACATATGTATGGATACAATTTTTCATCCACGTTTTCAGACGCACATATCAACCGATTTGAAAGGTTAAAAAAACATTCGATTCCTATTGATAGGGAGATATCCTGATTAGTTTTTGGCAAAGGCAGGTCCAGCCGTTACGGAGATGCAGAGCAAAGAGTGCAGAAAATAGAAATCGAGTTTTTAAAAGAAGGGAGCATTTGATATGAATGATCCAAAAAACATTCAATTCTTAATGATGTGGAGAAGTGGTGTTTGGTTTTTGATAAAGACAGGTCCAGCAATTTCGGAGATACGGAGCTAAATGTGCAAAAAAGGAAGGAAAAGGAAAAAAAAAAATTTCCAAAAAAAACATTTTTTTGAATATCGAAAATAATTCGGATTTTCAAATATTTAATTTGGTAAGGGAAGTTCCCGCAAATTGCCTCAAGGCACGATGCCATACACCACTAATTTAATTTTAATTTGGTCCACTGAATTAATTTTTAAAACTGTTCATGTTTTTCTATGTTACTCCCGATTATT